AATCCCTTCAGTTCAGACATACAAATATTAGAACGTTATGCTAGCTACTTTTTAAACAGGCTTAGATTGTTGTATATTTTTAGCATCCTGAAGAGAAGACATTTTCTGATGTTAAAACTTGTTGGGAATGAGCTCGGGTTTGGGTGATGTGGTCCCGGTGTTTACAGTGTAATAGAATAGGGATACAAAATGGGCGGAGCTTAGGTGTCAGGAAGTAAAATTCACTATTCGACATTCCATAGATGTGTGCACCATATTTAGAAAATTCCAAAGACGTTGAGTTTGAAGACATGTGGATGCTAACAAGCTAGCTGCTAACTACAAATCACAACGTTTGAAATTTCATTCATTTTCAACCACTTTATTGGTCCATTTCTGGGTCTGGACGGTGACAATCAGAGCTGCCACACAATGCTCTTAGCACCGGTCCCTCTGATCCTCTGCTGAGGGGGGTCCACAGGAAGATGGCTGCTACATCAGTCATGCCACAGCCTCTGTGTTTCAGAAGGAGCTTCAGGCAAAGTGGTGTTAAGTGTCTTGCCCAAGGACACAACAACAGCAAATATGAGACGTTTGAAATGTATTTTCTGGTTTGCAATGTATAGACTTAAAGATACGGTAAGTGATGTTGTTAGCTTAGCCGTAGAACCAACATGAAACCACGCCCCCCTCCCCTCCCTCTCCACCAAACCAAACATCCAGCATTTTCGTTTCTTTGTCACAACAGGGAGAGTGGAGCAAACGTGAAATTGGCATTTTCTGATCAGCCATTTTAGGTTTTAGTAAATCCAATAACTCGGGTGCACTCGAGAGAAACAGGAAGAGGGTGAAGGGGTAAATAAATGTGTTATTAATTTTTGGAGACTTAAGGCATCTGGTCAATTCCAATACTATTTGAAAACACATAACTTGACTACTCTTAGATAAACAAAACCGGGATAGATTACCATACATTCTTTTATTGTAGATTTTGATATTTTATTACAATGGATTATTCTGAAATGATTGAGATCCTTACAGTCCACAGTCTGACAAACTATCTAAATGAGAGCCCGTAAAACCATAAAAAAAAAAATCATTCTCGCTGTTGTCTCCCGGTAAACGTCGATTCAGGTACATTTTCTTGGCTTTATTCCCGTAAATTCCGGACAATAAACCGCTAGCCTTTTCTAGTTGTTTGATCCCTGCGGGTTTTAGAGCGATCAGGTTTTAGTAGCTCCACGACGCTGGTTCATTGTGTAAATGGATGAAGGTGAGTGAGCCGTGTTTTTGCTGTTATCTGTAAATGTAAAAGGCATTATTTATGAATGAGAGAAGTTTAATAGCGTTCTTAATATTCATGAAGTAAAATATGAAATTGTTTGAACTCATTTCTCCAATGGATCTAGTTTGGGGAGGGATTTAAAACGACATCTGTGTATGAAGTCTTTAACTGACTCTTTAGCGTTAATAATAGTTTAGCTAACCATATAAAATCATTAAGATAATAACAAAAACATGAATAGCTAAATTTGGGAGACTTCCAAATCTTTCCTTGTCGGAGGTCGTAGCAGAATCCCCCGGACAGATTCTCACGAGAAAAATTCTTGCAGCTAATTGTTCCATTTGATCATCAGACTGAATCCTGTTTGGGAGAATTGGTGACTGAATAAGCAGCACTGCAAAGAATGATACAATGAGAGGGCGACAGTAGCTCAGTTGGAGCATTGGACTTTGAGCCTGAAGGTTGTGGGTTCGACACAAGAACTATTCCCACTAATGTCTGCTGTTGCTGTGTCCTTGGGCAAGACACTTAACCCCACTTTGCCTGAAGCCCCTGCTGAAAGACCAAGGCTGTGGCATCACTGATGTAGCAGCCATCTTCTCAGGGACCCCCCCCCCCTGCAGAGGATCAGAGGGACTGGTGCTACCTGAAATGTGTGGCAGCTCTGAATGTCACCCCCCGACCCAGAAATGGATTGATAAAGGGGTAGAAAATGAATAAGTGTTTTTCATCTTCATCTGACTCATTCTGACTGCGTTACATCAGGATTCTCCAATGGGACAAAGCCATTTTAGTTTTGTTTCAAGAACTGTTGCATTTCTTGGTCTTTTTAAAACTCATTTAGCTTTGTCCCATTGGTAAATCTTGTTTCAATGCAGACAGAATGTGCTCAAACTAACACGTATTTTGCCAATTTTAAGCAATTTTTAGGGGCGACAGTAGCTCAGTTGGTAGAGCAGTGGTCTTTGAGCCTGGAGGTCGTGAGTTCGATTCCCACCATGGGACCTACTCCAACTGCTCCCACTGATGTCTACTGTCGTCGTGTCCTTGGGCAAGACACTTAACCCCACGTTGCCTGAAGCCCCCGCTGAAAGACCAAGGCTGTTTCACCACTGACAGAGCAGCCATCTTCCTGTGGACCCACCCCCTGCAGAGGATCAGAGGGACTGGTGCTATGAGCGTTGGTTGGCAGCTCTCATTGCCACCCCCCTGACCCAGAAATGGACAATAAAGGGCTTGAAAATGAATGAATAAGCAATTTAACTTATTTTTCGTCACTTTTTGCAGTGAGGATGAAGGAATGTGTTATATTTTGTTGACATTCAGTGAGAGTGACCTTGTGGTGCTTACTCACAGTCGGCGGATCCCTCCTGAATACAATGCAACACATACACAATATAATACAGCTATGGCTTTAACATATTTTTACTTCCTGACACCTTAAGCTCCGCCCACTTCATGTCGACATAGAATCATAGACTGTAAATATGAGCTTAGAATAAATGCATTATACGCGGTTACACATCAGGACTGTTGAGCCAAATTAAAACACATTTTCCCAAATTATTATTCATTTTATCATCACATCACATTCAATTAGAAAACATTCAACTTCACAACTTCCAAACCTCACGGATCCTCGTCTCTGCGTCGTGGTAAAAAGTGAAAAGGTCATAGTTCAGATTCCTGCAGACGCACACTGTAAAAACACGCTCCCGCAGAAGGCACAGCCAGGGAGGTCCATTGTTCAGGAGAGGCCCGAGGTCAGTGCTGCCAAAGTCAACAAGGCTCCGGGTTCAGCGGAAGAGAATCCTGAGTGAGTGAAAGGCCTGGAGCGCCGGGTTACGACAGTTTCTACTTCATCAAAACAGAAACTTCAAAGGTTTAGGTGATTATTGTCGATATTTGATTTCCATGGATTATTTTAAAATGAGGTCCGTGCCACAGTCTGACAATTTACATAAAAACCGTAGTCGAAATTTAGACAATACTCCGTTTTGAGGTAAGGTTTTTGTCTTCCAGAAAACGTCGGTTCAGGTAAATAATCTCTGGTTGATTACCGTAAATTCCAGACTATAACGCACTACTTTTTTCTAGTTTTTTGAACCCTGCAGCTTTTACAGCGATTGAGTTTTAGAAGCTACAGGCTGTGAAAATAATGACGGTGAATGGGTCATGTGACTCTACCATGTGACTCTACCATGTGGCTTTAGCATGTGGCTTTAGCATGTGACTACAGTGTGACTGTACCATGTGGTGTTAGCATGTGACTTTAACGTGACTACCATGTGGCTTTAGCATGAGACTCTACCATGTGACTTTAACGTGACTACCATGTGACTGTACCATGTGGCTTTAGCATGTGACTCTACCATGTGGCTTTACCATGTGACTGTACCATGTGGCTTCACGGTACCATGGGAACAGGACGGTCACTTGTGCCTCTGATTGTTTGAAGATGTGAAATGAAACTGAAATATATGACTTTATATGAGTTTAGTTTTTAACCTGCAGAAATATGTGTGTGTGACTGATCCACTGAGGAACGTAGAGGAGCTCGGAGTAGAGCCGTTGCTCCTCCACGTGGAGAGGAGCCAGTTGAGGTTCATCTGTGTGAGAGGCCTCCACAGAGGGACTGTCTCGGATGAAGTAAAGCTTTAAAGCTCGTTACGATGTTCTCAAAGTGTCAGAAAAGGAATAAATATTTCTCATTCTGTGTCTTTAACTTTTTTAAACATATTTTAGATTTAGTGACGAGAAGAAAACCATTGTTCAGTGTTGAGATATTTAGCCCACGCAATTATAGAGCTGCAGTAGAGCAAAGTATTGGGATGTTTAATGAATTATCTGTTTCACTTTTGTGTGTTCTCTGTTGACATTTGCGTGTCACATCCACAAGAGGGCGCTGTTGTGATGCTTCTTTCTCTGTGCATTCATTCAACACAAAGTCCTCATGAAAACGCTTCTTCACAACACTTAATTCTGTCTGTGATAAAGTCCTGAATGTTCGAGGATCATGTTTTTACACTTCCCTCCTCATGTACAGACCATAATAAACATGACAGGGGTTCATTATTCTCCTCCATGTTTGTAAAGTCTGAATAATAAGAGGAACATGAATCACTGAAATGAAAAAGGTAAAAAAATCATAATATTGAATTATGGCCGAAACATTGCATTAATATTGAATCGTCAAATTCCCACTGAAGTTAGCGATGTAGTTAGCTTAGCCGTAGCACCAACATGAAAACACTCCCCCCTCCCCTCCTTCTCCACCGAACCAAACATCCAGCATTTTCTTTTCTTTGTCACAACAGGGAGAGTGGAGCAAACGTGAAATTGGCATTTTCTCATCAGCCATTTTAGGTTTTAGTAAATCCAATAACTCCGGTGCACTCGCGAGAAACAGGAAGAGGGTGAAGGGGGTAAACACATCCCATTGGTTCGTTGGAGATGAATGAATCCCATTCGTTTATTTTTATCGGTTTGCTATAGACCACTATGACATCTGGGCAATTCCATTACTATTGAAAACACATGGTAACTTGATACTTTTAGGGTTTAGGGACGTTTTCCACAATATTTAAAAAAATCACGACTTTAACCTAGTTTCAAAGTGGTTGAAAAGTCTTCATTAGATTCTCCTAGATCTAAATCCAGTGGGTCCAGTTTAGACCCGGTCCTTCTGAGAGTGCAGCGTCCGGAGGAATGCTCTTCGAATGGAATAAAGGCGGAGTTAAATGTCACTAGTCCTGGCTCCGAGGGCCAAGTCCCCCAGAGTGGAGAAGAAGTCCTCCATCTCCTTCTCCAGGAGCCGGTTGCGGTTCTCGGCGTCCTCTCGTGCACGCTCCGAGTTCCGCAGTTTGATCTCCAACATGCGCTGCTTCTTACGCTCCTGCTCCATGTCCTGCTCCAGGCGCTCCATCTGGGAACACAGCGCTGCACTGGCCTCCTCCAACCTGATGGAGAGAGGGAGGGGACAGGGAGGAGGGAGGGGGAGGGGGAGGGGGAGGAATTTTAAGTGCTCCGGTCTTTTGTCTCAATTATTAAATCTCTAAAGCTGTGTTCACACCAGACTTCAAAAGCGTCAGCATTGAAAGTGAATGAAGCGCGTCAGGTGACGCCGAGAGGCCCCGCATCACCTAACGCGTCATGCACGTAATGCTCGTGTCTTTTTTGGCGTCAAAAATGTCTTGCTGCTGATGTTGAGAAAAGCTGAGCTTTTCGAGTTTGACGCTGGGTGTCAAACAATCAGGAGACGAGGACCAGCAGCAGCAGCAGCAGCAGCAGCAGCAGCAGCAGCAGCAGCAGCAGCAGCAGCAGCAGCAGCAGCAGCAGCAGCAGCAGCAGCAGCAGCAGCAGCAGCAGCAGCAGCAGCAGCAGCAGCAGCAGGTCTGTAATGGAAGTCATGTAGCTGCTGCTTTGCTGTTTTGTTGCTATTATTGTTATTATTGGAAATATTATTTGTATGAGGAGTAACGTTCTTAATAAGTAACAAAATCAATGAACACATGCTGTGAAGTCAAAGTAATTTAGGAGGTACCCAAACTGGGTGAATGACAGGCAGAAGTACCGCTGAAAGTGAAGCTCCTCCGTACGGAGCTCCTGGAGTAAATGATGAAACACTGCAGCCTCAAGTCTGTGTGAACCCAGAACATGTTTTGTAGAAGCTACAACAACGTTGTATGGCTCTAAAAAACAACTAAAGGCTGCTCTCTGGAAATCCACCTTTGTCTCTGGACTATACCGGCAGCAGAGAAGCTCCTCCCACCCGGCGTCAAGCGCGTCCGGAGCTTCAAGCCCCAAAATGACCAAAATAAATCAGCTTCAAACAATGTGCGTCGCAGGCGTTTTGGTGTGAACACAGATTAACTAAATCTTTATCATCATACATGTTTACATCTGTACATGTTAGCAGCATGAGGCTCTGGGACAAAGTGACGATCCAGATTCAGACTGACTCAGACTGATCCAGACTGACCCAGACTGACCTGGACTGATCCACTGATCCAGACTGACCCAGACTGACCCAGACTGATCCAGACTGATCCAGACTGACCCAGACTGATCCAGACTGACCCAGACTGATCCAGACTGATCCAGACTGATTCAGAATGACCCAGACTGATCCAGACTGGTCCAGAGTGACGTACTTGTGGATGCGTTCCTCGTAGCTGCTCCTCTGCTTCCTCAGCTCGTCCCTGAGGCCCTCCACGAGGCCGCTGAGGGTCCCATTGGCCTCCTCCCCCTCCTCCCCCATCAGGACACAGGCTGCACTGCTGCCGTTCTCACTGCAGGGGGCGCTGCTGCACAGTTCCATGGCCTCGCAGCTGTCAGGCTCTGAGCTCAGGACGTCTGTGTCTCTGTGAGGGTCGGCCCAGTCTGTAGCAACACCAGGGCATCAGGGTTAATCACAGTCACAAGAATAATAACAATAATAATAATACATTTGATTCATTATGCACTGTACATTTCCAGGTTATAATAATAATAATAATATTTTCCAGGTTTATTCAGAGCAGGTCGACAGAAGGTATAAGAACTTTCCATCTTCAATAGATCACGTTCATGTTCTAGAAACTTCAGTATTTCAGCAGGAGCCAAGTCAGCGATCGGAAACAAGCATTTTTTGAAATAAATGTTTTATCAAAGAAAATGTGTAAATGTTTTTTATTATTTACTACATTTGTCACTTTTTCTCAGACCATTCTAACAAATTCTAAATCCTTAAAGGAGTTACCAAAAAATCTAAGAAGACTGATTGGAAGCTCATGAGCTCAATAACTACAAACCACAGTTCAGCGGTTTATAGTAATTATTAAATAAATATGAGATTTTTGTTCAGCAGTTTTACTTCCTGAAAACTACTTGGTTCTATCCTATTATTGTTCAATTAAAGCAAATACTCTGGGATGAGTCAGAACCAGTTTGAACACCAAAATCATAAATACATTATATATAATTATTCTGGACTTTGTTTGGATTTTATCACACTTACCAACGTGTTTGTCAATTTATTAAATAACACTAGACCTTGAAGAGCAGTCAATTTGACGGCTTTTTATTTTAGAAGTGTAATAACTCTTGTTTGTTTTTGGTCTTCGTAACTTTGTCATTTTTTCTGTTTTTTAATGTGGTTCATTTCTGTGTCATTCTGTTTATGAAATGATCTCGACCTGGTCCTGGACTGGAACTGAACTGGTCCTGGATTGGTACTAAACTGGTCCTGGTCCAGAGCTATCACAGCTTGGAGCCAGCGCTGGTTACCATAGCAACACACTTTTTACTTGCAGCAATGAAGTGTTTTTGTTTTGCCGCTGTATTCACTAGATTTAGATTTGAGATAAAATGAATGACTTCATATTAATAAAAGTCTGAAAAACTTAAACTGTCTTTGGGATGTTTTTGTTTCCAGAATTCCACTCATTTGAATTAAAGTTTTAGTGGTTTTCATTTCCTGTGTTTGAACTCATTCTCTGATCTTTAAAGAATCTCCTCTGAGAAATCCACGGTTGTGATTCAGGGCGACACACAAACACAGTAGCTGCGCCTCTCACCGCTCACCACCCCCACGCTGGCCCCTCCTGACGGGTCGCTGCTCCCAGACTCGGGGGCCGAGGTGCCGCAGGACGAGGAGGTGGACCAGGGCGAGCTGTCCACGCTGGGGACGCTGCCCGAGCTGGACGACACGTTATCGTAGGTGGACAGTCTCTGGGAGGACGCAGCCGAGTCCCGGTCCCGCCCCGACCGCTCCCCAGAGGAGGTCCTGCGGTGGCCCCGGAGCGACGACAGGCCGTTCATCAGCCAGTTCCCGCCGCTGCTGCTGGAGTCGGCCGCAGAGCCCGGTTTGGCGGCGGCGGCGGAGGAGGCGGAGTTCTTGAAGGAGTACTTCCAGGAGGGGGCGGGGCGAGGCTGCTTGCTGGGGCTGATGACCGCGTCCTTCCCGGGTTTGGGCATCTGTGCGGGACTCACGGCGGCGCACAGCTTGGCGTCTAAAGAGGAGGCGTCGCTCTGGGAGTCGGGGTCCGCGGGGCAGCTGGGCAGGTCCTCCTCAGATATCCAGGCCCCCAGGCTGCGGTGGTGCAGGTGGGGCAGGTGGGGCGGGGGCAGGTCTGTGCTGGGGGGCGGGCTCAGGGACTCCTGCTCTCGGCCCTCGTACAGACGCCTGTGCTCCCGGATCAGCACCGTCATCAGGTGCTGCACCAGGGACGTGCCTGCGGAGAGAGGGGAGAGGGGTGAGAGAGAGAGGGGAGGGGAGAGAGGGGTGAGAGAGAGAGAGAGGAGAGGGTGAGAGAGAGAGGGGAGGGAGAGGGGTGAGGGGTGAGAGAGAGAGAGAGGAGAGGGTGAGAGAGAGGAGAGGGAGGGGAGAGAGGAGAGGGAGGGGAGAGAGGAGAGGGAGGGGTAAGAGAGAGGTGAGAGAGAGGAGAGGGGAGAGAGAGGTGAGAGAGAGGGGAGAGGGAGAGATGTGAGAGGGTGAGAGAGAGAGGGGAGAGAAAGGAAAAAGAGGGGAGAGAGGGGAGAGAGATGGGAGAAAGGGTGAGAGAGAGGGGAGAGAGCGGAGGGTGAGAGAGAGAGAGGGGAGAAAGAGAGGGGAGAGAGAGAGGTGAGAAGGGGGAGAGAGAGGGGTGAGAGAGAAACTAGAGAGAGAGGTGAGAGGGGGAGAGAGAGGGGTGAGAGGTGAGAGAGAATCTAGAGAGAGAGGTGAGAGAGGAGAGAGGGGAGAGAAAGAGAGGAGAGAGAGAGAGAGAGGTGAGAGAGGGGGGAGAAAGGGGAGAGAGATGAGAGAGGGGGGAGAAAGGGTGAGAGAGAGGGGGGAGAGCGGAGGGTGAGAGAGAGAGAGGGGAGAAAGAGAGGGGAGAGAGAGAGGTGAGAAGGGGGAGAGAGAGGGGTGAGAGAGAAACTAGAGAGAGAGGTGAGAGGGGAGAGAGAGGGGTGAGAGGTGAGAGAGAATCTAGAGAGAGAGGTGAGAGAGGAGAGAGGGGAGAGAAAGAGAGGAGAGAGAGAGAGAGAGGTGAGAGAGGGGGGAGAAAGGGGAGAGAGATGAGAGAGGGGGGAGAGAGGGGTGAGAGATGAAGGAGCTCATACCTTCCATGATGGTGACAGGATCCTCCATCTTGGGTCGGAGGATGTTCGGTCCAAAGACTGTGGCCAGGTTCTGGACACTCATCTTGTTCTGGTTGCAGTGAGACTGGACTTCATCCAGGAATCTGACAAATGACAAATATAAAAACTGCAGCACTAGAGAAAAGTCCTGGAGCTCGTCGTGTTTCTCTGAACTCACCTGCAGATGTACTTGAGCAGGTTGAAGTTGGGCAGAGGTAGATTACTGACTTGTTTCCCAAGTTCCTGGACGCCCTGTACACATTTATATATGTATAGACATTTACATATATTTATAATAAGTCATAATAATAATGCAGTTTTATACAGCGCTATTTTGAACACTTCATTTGTTATGAAGTGTTATTATTATTATTTCAATCAATCAATCAATCAATCAATCTTTATTTATAGGGCGCTTTTCCTGCACAGGGCAACACAAAGCGCCTCACAGTCCACACCACACAATGCACAAATCATCACCATTAAAATACAATTAAAAACACATATGTAATTAAAAAGCATTAAAATCACATAAGTAATTTAAAAACATAAAAATCACACAAGTAATTAAAAACAATAAAATAGTTAAAAACACAAAAAGTTACAACAATAAATAACAAGGTGTGTTAAAAAGATAAAATTCTCTAGTTGTATGCACGGGAAAAAAGAAAAGTCTTTAACATGGATTTGAACATTGACAGAGAGGCAGCCAGTCTCACATCCTCAGGAAGACCGTTCCAGACTCCAGCTGCATAAATCTGAAAAGCAGCCTCCCCCTGTCTAGTCCTGACTCTGGGCACTAACAGGAGTCCCGTCCCTGCGCTCCTCAGAGTCCGGGCTGGTTCATATGAGACTAGCATATCATGGATGTACTTTGGTGCAAGGCCATGGAGAGACTTGTACACCAGGAGAGCTGCTTTAAAGTCTATCCTCTGGGCCACGGGAAGCCAGTGCAGAGACCTGAGGACCGGACTAATGTGGTCGTACTTCCTGGTTCTAGTCAGGACTCGGGCTGCAGCATTTTGAATATACTGCAACTGTCTTACTGCATGTTTGGAGATACCTGTGAGCAGGCCATTGCAGTAATCCAGCCTACTGGAAACAAAAGAATGGATAAGAATCTCCAAGTCTGCCCTGGACACAATATTTTTAATTTTGGCAATATTTTTCAGATGATAAAAAGCTGCTGATGTTACCGATCCAATGTGGCTATTGAAGTTTAAGTCAGAGTCCATTATTACTCCCAGATTTCTGACCTTATTTAAGGGCCTTAGGGAGAGAGGCTGAAGGTGACAAATGACGGTCTCTCTTTGTTTCTCGGGACCAAAGACAATCATTTCGGTTTTGTCCGCATTTAGCTGGAGAAAATTGCATTGCATCCACTCACTGATCCGCTGGATACAGCGAAGGAGTGAGTCCACCGGCCCATGCTCTCCTGCAGTCAGTGAGACATAGATCTGAGTGTCATCAGCGTAATTGTGGTAGGACACTTTCATACTTTGAATTAACTGACCTAATGGCAGCATGTAAATATTGAACAGGAGAGGTCCCAGAATCGACCCCTGTGGCACTCCGCAGGTCAGGGCCATATTATCTGAGACATAGTTTCCAATCTCCACACAGTACTTCCTTTCTTCTAGATAGGACCTAAACCAGCTTAGGGCGGTACCAGCAACACCAACCCAGTCCTCCAGTCTCTGCATGAGAATCTCATGGTCAACGGTGTCGAAAGCGGCACTCAGATCTAACATGACTAAAACAGAGACTTTTCCTGCATCAGTGTTAAGCCGAATATCATTTGTTACCTTGACTAGAGCGGTCTCAGTACTGTGGTGTGGTCTAAAAGCCAGACTGAAACATGTCAAATGAGTCATTAGATATTAAAAATTCAGTAAGTTGTTGGTAGGCAACTTTTTCAAGAATTTTTCCCATGAAAGGCAGATTTGAGATGGGACGGTAATTTTCAAGTACCGCAGCATCCAAACTGCTCTTTTTTAGGAGGGGCCTAATGACTGCCTTTTTCAGGGCCATTGGAAATGTTCCAGATAAAAAAGACATGTTTACTATTTGTGTCAATGAGGGTAATAGACTACACATAACAGACTTCAGAAATCTAGGAGGTAGTACATCCAGACTGCAGGTAGAGGAACTAAGACCTGTGATTATCTTTTTAACAGTTTCATCATTGACAGGTGCAAATTGAGCTAGCTCACAAAGCCTCACTGGATGTTGCATTGTTACTTGTGTTGTAGAGGTGATGGCATTTCTGATACCCTGAACCTTGTCTCTGAAGAACTGTGCAAACTCATTACACCTGGATTTGGAGTAGTGTTCTAATGGCAACTCAACAGGGGGGTTCGTTAATCTATTGATTGTTGAAAATAGAACACGCAGATTGTTGCTGCAGCCTTCAATAGTTTCAGAAAAGTATAATTCTCTTGTTCTACGTAGTACTCTGTTAAACTCACACAACTTCTCTTTTAAGAGTCTATAATCACCCTGGAGGTTGGACTTTCTCCACTTTCTCTCTGCTCTCCGGCACTCTTGCTTCTGTGCCCTGACCGGGCCTGCTTTTATCCATGGGGCTTTTTGCTTATTTGTGACCATTTTTACCTTCACAGGGGCAATGGCGTCCAGAACATTCAACACACTAGAGGTGACAGAGTTAAGCAGTTCATCTACAGTAGAACATGATGTGTTCTCAAAATGGATCATTCCCATAAATAGTTCACCCGTGTTTTCATTTAAGTGTCTACTTCTAACAATTTCATATTTAGCGGGTGGTCTGGTAGCAAAACACATGTTAAAAAATACACAGAAATGATCCGACAGAGCAACATCAACTACATTAACTTTTGAAATATTCACCCCTTTCGTGATAAGCAGGTCCAAGGTGTGTCCTCTGCTATGGGTGGGGCCACTCACATGCTGAGTGAGGCCAAAGGATTCAAGTATGGAACTCAGCTCTTTTGCGTATCTGTCATTAACATTATCCACATGAATATTAAAATCGCCTATAATGACTAAACCATCAAAATCTGTGCACACAACTGAAAGCAACTCAGTGAAATGATCAGTGAAACTATGGCATGACTGTGGCGGCTTGTACACAACAATAATAAGAATGGAAGAAGATTTCTTTTGTTCTATTTTAAAAGAAACATACTCAAATGATGAAAATTTCCCAAGAGACACCCTATGGGAGACAATACGATCTTTAAAAACTGCTGCTATGCCCCCCCCCCTTTTATTTTCTCGTGTTTCATATTCAAATTTGAAATTTGGTGGTGAGGCTTCTATTAAAACTGCATCTCCTGTATTATGGTCAAGCCATGTTTCAGTCATAAACATAAAATCAAGATCATACGAACAGATAAAATTATTAATTAAAAATGATTTGTTGCATAGTGATCTGACATTAAGTAGAGCAAGGTTAAAATTAATATCAGTGTCAGTGGGTTTAGTTGATTGATTACAAAGAACTGGAATTAGATTTCCAGAGTTGGACCGTCTAACTGCTGTCCTTCTTTTAAATTTGTGTTTATTCAAGTTAAAACACATTTCTGAGCTGGTGCGAGGAACACACACAGTCTCTATTGGTTTAAAAAGTGAACTCTGTTGTACTTTGTTAAGTTCCAGATGCATAACTGAGTCAGCACAGTTCAGTGGCAGGACTGTCGTTACACTGCCAGACGGACAGGGGTCAGTGTTTGCACCACAGTACTCACCCGGTGCTGGTAAGGAAGAGGAGGGGGGTGGTGGGGGCCGAGAAGCCTCAGATGTAAACAGTCACGCCCCCCTCGGGGAGCACTGAACAACATGGCGCAGGAAGTCCGTCAACAAACTGGTGCCGTATCTGTTCGGGTGCAGACCATCTGGACGATAGGCCACGTGACGCTTCCAGAACAGGCCAAAGTTGTTCACAAAAATAAAGTTAAAAGTGCTGCATGTAGACTGGAGCCACATGTTGAGCGCCACAACGCGACTGTAGAGGCAGTCACCCCGGTTTACAGTCGGGACTGGACCAGAGATAAAAACACACAACCCGGAGGACTGGAGGAGGCGGAACAGATTCATAAAGTGCTTCTTTGTGACCTCTGACTGCTGCAGCTTCATATCATTTATACCCACATGCACGATTACCTTGGATATGGTATCGGGCAGGGAGTGAAGCAGAGGAGGGAGACGGATGAGCAGATCTGGGACAGTAGCTCCAGTAATGCAGTGAGTGACCGCGTTAAAAAAGCGGACGTGCCTCACGATGGAATCTCCAACGATCAGAGTAGTTGGGGCGAAAAGTGGACGCGGCCGCGGAGAAGGCGCTCGGTGTCCATGGCCAGAACCAGCGGGGTCATCCAGGGATGGGTCCGAACCAGGGCGCTGCTGAACACATGGAGAAGAGTGGGGGTGTTGATTCTCAGCTCCGGGCAACCCACGCTGTGTGCACGGAGACGCTGGAGCGGCGTGAGGAGCAGGCTCGGGTCGCTGCTGCTGACCCGGTGAAGGTAAGTGGTGGTGATGCACTGGGGTCAGAGAAGGGGAATGACCACTCTTTCGTCTGAGGACAGCTTCCTTTAAGAGTGTCTTTCTCGCAGTGGACCTGGATCCACGGACAGCAGTAGAGTTTGCTGCAGAGTCCAGGGGTTCTGCTGAGGGGGCTGGTATGTCAGCGGAGAGGGCTGCATAGCGGTTTGACAGGCTCAGGACATGGGCCACGGCGCTGGATGGCTCCTCGCAGTCCGCAGGCTCTTTATTCCGAACCGGGCACTTAGGTGTAGAACAGGAGGGTCCAGAGCTGACAGACCTCTCCCACACGACAGTGTCACAGTATGCAGCGCTCAGTGACATAAGCCGTGAGTGCTGCCCGCCAGCAACATCAAAAAGTTTGGACACGAGTGACTGTTTATCCTGCAGCTCTGCAGTGAGGCGAAGGACTTCTTTACGGAGGTCTGCAATAGTGGCACGGTCCCTCTCACGAAGCTCCAATGTGAGGCGACTAATGTCGTTCGTGGTCATTGCAGTGTCACTTTCCATGTCTGTGGTGCGCTCGTGGTAGCCTCCGAGCTAGCGCGTTTCGATTTGGTCTTTGTGTTAAAAGACGTAATGCTCTGGAACCATTGCATTTAAGATAATAAAACACTAGAGTGTACAAAAGACACTAATACACCGTAAAAACGTGTTTAAAAGGCTTTAAAAGGCTTAAAAGGGTGAACAGAGCAGAGACGTCAAAACGCGTGCTCACTCTCACTCACTTTAACTCCAAACACAGCGGTGATAAACTACTAGCCACAGCTGCCCTGGGGCACACTGACAGAAGCATTCGACCAGGCCCCTCCAACCAACTGCCATTCACACACACACCATTCTAAAGTGGGTGAAGTGTCTCTTGCCAAGGGACACAACCACAGTTTGGCACTTTACAGCCAAGCACTTCCTAGAGGTCTCCCATCACAGTACTAACCAGGCCCTGCCCTGCACAGCACACAATTGAAGGAAGATTGAAAGTTGGCTCTTCGTAGGAAACCAGGGAGATCTTGAGTAAAACAAACTTATAGAATTAAAAACACATGAATGTCATTCCCACAGCCCACTGCTACTGAGACCACGCCCCCTACTGGCCGTGTGCCTCCATCACATGCAGAGATGATTTCTGGATGTTGAGGGCACATATTCGTAGAGTAAATAGCAGGCTGATTGTTAGATGCTGAATAAGCTGACATGTTTAATGCAGGATGTTTTGAAGGGAGAGGAGTATATTTTTTTCTATATGCAATATTTCCAAACTTTCCATGAAAATTGACAGTATTTTTTTCCGCCCCTTTGCAACACTAAGGGTTGGTGCTTCTGTGTTACCTCCTCCTCGTCTTTGGCCAGCAGCTGTGCACATGTGAGGAAGTCTTCATACTTAGAGAACGGGATGACGGGCTCAGGCAGCTCCCGGAGATACAGCTTTAACAGCGACGCCACCGTGTGGACATCTGTGTTACTGCAAGACAATCAGGACCATGCTGATTACACTTGTGCTGTTTGTTCTCCTGATGTAAAAGGTTCAGAAGACGACTTAACAGAGTAGAAATAATAAATAAATTCAAACTGTTTATGGACTTTCTTAAATATATATTCCTTATTACACAGACAGAAGTGATGTTCAGTATCTGGATATTTTGAGTTTTTATACAGTAGATATAATTAAATAATAATGATCCATTTCATTTTTCAGAGACGTTGAGTTTTATTTTCCTCAGTTTTATTATTGTCTTTGAATAATATGAGGGACATGAATCGCAAAATATTGCAGGATCAAATCCCAATGCTTACTTTTGAACGTGTTGGAAACAGCAGCGAGTCCAAAGTCGCTCTGAAACAATTGTGTTTCAGAGCGTTTTACAATTGTTATTTTTCTTGCTTTTTTCTATTTGTAAATGTTACTGCAGTACAGTGTTGATGGTTTTAGGAGAGAAATGGTCCAAACCAAGCGGCTGCTCCACTTCTGCTGCTGGGACCTAAAGTGCTGTTGCATTTTATTACTATTGTTATTTGCTTCTAGAATTATGTATGCATTAGTTTTGTTTGTGTGGAAGGATGTGTTCCCGCTGATACTGGACTCCTGAAACTCTCCGACAGGGATCAATAAAGTATATCTCTATGTTAAGAATCATAATAACATAGAATTGTGGCCCAAATACTGTAATACTATCGAGTCAGCACATTTGAGCCTAAACATACACCAGGGGTCTCCAACCTTTATCAATCTGAGAGCTACTTTTATGCATCAAAAGAGGCAGAGAGCTACTTATGTAATAATTATGACAAAACATAGATTTACTATAGATTTACCATAGAACAGTAAAAGCCTATATTCATACTTATTTATGAATATATCTATGTAATGACTCAAAAGATAATTTTTTGGAGACCCCTGACATAAAGCATTTAACAAACAACTGAAACCAACAACCATAGACTCCGAAGCACACAGGGCTGCATTACCAGTCAAACAGAGGCTTGTCGCCACAGTCGAAGGCCTCCTGCAGATCTTTGACCAGATTGGCCTGTCCCGGCATCCTGAAGAGGCCCTCCTCGTCCAGGCCCCTCTCCCTGATGAAGTCCACACACTGCTCCACCAGCAGAGGGGCCAGCCGGGACCCGAACTTCTTCTCATACAGCACCGTGTCCTCCAGACGCTGCCCGAAGATCCCTGCACACACACAACAGACACACACGTCACTGTTTGAGGCAAAGCAACGTTCTTAGTTTTATTGTGGACATTACAGAGTTTGAGGTACTTCCTGAAGTTTCTTTCTTTACTCCCACTGGGTTTTAAAGGTGAAGTTAGCGATGTTGTTAGCTTAGCCGTAGCACCAACATGAAACCACTCCCCCCTCCCCTCCCTCTCCACCAAACCAAACATCCAGCATTTTCTTTTCTTTGTCACAACAGGGAGAGTGAAGCAAACGTGAAATTGGCATTTTCTGATCAGCCATTTTAGGTTTTAGAAAATCCGATAACTCCGGTGCACTCTGAGAAACAGGAAGAGGGTGAAGGGGGTAAACACATCCCATTGGTTCGTTGGAGATGAACGAATACCATTGGTTTATTTTTATCGGTCTGCTCCATAATATTTGTTACTAATTTTTGTAGACTATAGACATCTGTTCAATTCCATTACTATTTGAAAACACATGATAACTTGATACTTTTAGGGTTTAGGGACATTTTCCACAATATTCCAAAGAATGCGTCTGGAAAAAATCACTGACTGCATCTTTAAGAGTTGTTTTTTGCCGATGAGGGTCTAAAGACAGTGGTGATGATCCAGGACACATCCAAGACATTTATGGACATCTGCCTCTTATGGCTCTATGTGTTTAGTGGTGGATAAATTGACTCCTGCCTCGATGAAGGACACAGCTAGATACAAGAACTAAAGAGAACTAAGAGATGTTTCAAACTAGAGAATGTAGATACAACCTCTGAGGAACTGATCTGCTACAAAAACCCAGGGCAAAGCGTAAAACTAAGAGGTGTGTATCAGTCAAAGGAGTGGATCTATGGAATGGTCTACCTTAACCCTTGAATTGGACTACGCTTAATAATTAACAGTTGTAATTTAAGTTGTGTGCTACATGTTTCCATTGTTGGTATGAATCTGTATAATGTGTCACCTTTGTACTTTAGTCACAGTTGTAAAAGTGTTAAGCAGTATGAGTCTCAACTTTAACTTAAACCACAAAAGACTTTCGGTCATTTTTAATGTTCATGTTTTTAGCGGTAGGGGAAACCGGAACACCTGGAGGAAACCTATGCAGGCACTGGAGGAACATGCACACTCCTCACAGAAGAGCCTTGAGGTGAATCAAACCTTTCTTGCTCTAGTAGCGTTTAATAGTAATGTTTTGAAGGATGTTGAGACACATTTCATATTGAACATTTCACACACACAAACGCTACACAAACAAACATTGTCATTTTAGTCTCGCTCTTGTCATGCCACGGCGGGGAAATGTTCGTGTTGCATCACCAATTACAGAACAGTAGGAATGAGGAGCACACAGCACAAAATAACAATAACTCTATAATAAATTAAAATAAAATCCCTAACTTTAGCATAATAAGAAAGTCTGAAATCTCCATAGTAATTATGTCCAGTCTAATAACAGCCAGTACATGTCTCTATGTCCCTGCATTGCATGTGTATTGTTGTGTATTGTTTAAGTGCCTTTCTTCTTTGTATGCATTTGACAGTGTCTGTGGAAATACATTTACCTCAAGTGACAATGAAGGTCGACCTCCATCTATCTCTCTTTCTCTCCCTCTCTCTCTATATATATCTCTATCAGAATCAGAATCATTGTAATCATTCTCATGTAAGTAACAGGAAGTAACAGACTAATTGCTTTGGCTTTCGGTGCAAACAGTCAAAAGTAGAGAGGTAGTGAATAGAATAATGCGTAGTGAAAATCAGTATACAATTTTAAGTTATAAAAATATAAACTATCAAATTATTACTATCTCTTTATCAATCACGTTATGTCACAATATCTCCCTGGTAGTTCACTCACAACAAGCAAGGATCAGGCAGGTACGTGGTAAAGATGCCATATAAAACTGTAAATAATCTTGCATGCTCTGACTGGGTGTTACCTGCCAGGCGGCTGCAGCACTCGCAGCCAGCGGGCGTCTCACTGTAGTCGTAATAATTGACAGAACAGGTGTTACACAGCATCAACACCGCGCTGTTATCGTACATCCTGAAGCCACATTTCACCAGGTTCTTCCACTGCGGCTCTGGCATTGGAGCATCTACCACACGTCCTTGTTCCACAGCTGAAGTCAAGTTACAGGCAGCGGTGATGCTAGCAGGAGAAAGTGCAGCTAGCAGAGGGTCATGACGGTCAAGATAAGGGTCTATAAGTGGCCAATGTGTCTATTCTGGACCCACTGACGACACCCAGACACTTTCCCCGGGAGTGAGAACATATGACCATGTTCTCACTCCCTGACCACCCCCCAGGCCCCACCGTGAGAATGGCAGGAGCTCTGGTGTGCGCCGTCTTCTCTGTCTGGTGCACACTGGGGTAGTCTTGCACAGTTTTTCCAATGTGGTTTTACTGCAAATGGCAAATAAATGAATCTGAATCTGATCTGAATGTACATGACAGCGGCCAAAATACTAGTAAGCAGCGTGTAATGCTATCATGCTAATGCTAATGAACTAGCTAGCTAACACCTCCTAGCTTCTCAAAAAAGGCGAACGTTATTATTATAGATCCATGATGGGCAGATTTGAGACGACAAAATAATATAAAACTATAAATAAGCCAAAAGTAAATGTCTTGAACTTGAAACTTATTCTATTATCATAACAAAGGAGCTAAACATATTTAACCCTGGGAGTCTTCCATAAACGTAATTTGACAGCTCCCATTCATACCAATGGAAGTCTGAGAAGATTTATTAAAAATAGTATTATTTATAATGTTTTTTTCTTTAACAGGCATTTTTGCACTACCCTCCAAGTGTTTGCAGTGCACTTAATGTGCAGACCATATTATGTGACATCCATTTGTGTATGAATACTGGGAGGGACATGAATTACAATATATCACAGAATCCACAATCATTTCTGTATCACAATATGTTAAGATTGGCATTATAATTGAATCATACCCAAATATTTTAATTTTATTCCTTAGAAGTGTATGCTGATTTATTATGCCTTACTCTATTCTCTTTTTTCTGACTGTTGCACTGAGCCAAAGCAATTTCCAAGTCTGACTTCCTGTTACTTACGTGGCAATAAAAATGATTCTCATTCTGATATTGCAATACTATCGAATCGTCATATTTTTTCGCCAATTCTCACCACTAATATTATTGTGTTATTACACCGTTTGACTCAAGTGTGATGGAGCCGTTATAGATCCATGGGTGGAGCTAGCTATAATACATCCATGACGGACTATTGATCGGGTAACAACTAAAAAAGCCCTCTATTTTAAGCTATGCATTTTAAGTTTTAAGAATTTATGTATCATTGATGGTAACACAGTAGCTAGCGGCATCATAAAGGAGAATTTGATGATTGAGTAAAACAGGTATATTAAATCTGTGGTACCAAACTTTCAAACCACAAAAGCAAGCTACAGCTATGTTATGTTCCGCCTTATATTCCATAGGCTATATTAATAAGCGGCCCATACAGCAACGTTGTAACATGAGCCTCAGTCCTTCAGCTGCTGCTAATTCCCCAGTCCAGTTCACACATGGCAGGCTCTGTTTTATTTCTGGACTCATGTCAACGCCTCTAGTTAGACACCTCCAGGAGTTAGACACCTCCAGGAGTTAGACACCTCCACAAGTTAGACACCTCGTCCAGTGCAGACAGGCTGCAAATTACCTCTGTATCTCACTGACAGGCTGATACAGAAACTGCTAGTCTAAACCATAGACTGTAAATATGTCTATATCCTGTGAAACTAATGATATTTTATTGCTAGACAGGTGGCATTCCAGTGAGAGACACATGACGTTAATAATAAAGTGTAATGTCAGTAATGTCAGAGTGTACACCGGATTCTAGAAACCTCAGACAATCAGGACTTGGACGCGACGTAAGACTAGAAGTGAGGATCGCTGAAATGTGAACCTCAACCATAAGTACTTAAAACTAAAACTGAACTATTCACTCAAACTAAAGTTAATCTAAAACAGGCATCTCAAACTCAGGTCTGTGGACCAAATCTGGCCCCTTAAAGACTATTTTTAGTGGCCCCTGAAATTATTTTTTATTACTATTATTACTGAGGGGCGACAGTAGCTCAGTTGGTAGAGCATTGGCCTTTGAGCCTGAAGGTCGTGGGTTCGAGCCCACCACAAGACCTACTTCACGACTCCCACTGATGACTGCTGTCGTTGTGTCCTTGGGCAAGACACTTAACCCCACTTTGCCTGAAGCCCCCACTGAAAGATCTCAGCTCCTGTTGACTCACCACCTGCAGGAGGATCAGTGAGGGGCTGGTGCTAAGTGAACTGGGTGCAGCTCTGACTGCCACCCCCCTGACCCAGAAATGGATTAAGGGGAAGAAAATGGATGGATGGATGGATGGATTATTACTGTTAGGGGCCCAGGTATGGGATTGCGTGCACTCCTCCCCTTGCTTCCTGTTTTTGTGCAGGTTAGATTGACTTTTACACATGCACAAAAATATGTGAAAAAAAAGTAAAACGCTTTTACACTTTTGGACACCAGCTCTTATGTTTTTAAACTTGGATCCCGACCAAAATGAGTTTGACACCTCTGATCTAAAGCAGTGGTTCCTAAAGTGGGGTCCCCCCCCCAAGGGGTCGCAGGAACCCCCGCGGGGTCGTGAGATGATTTCCAAAGAAAAAAGGAAAACAGGTGGAACAAATATATAGCCCTTAGATATTTATTTTGCATTTGATTTGATTCAAAAGGACGTTTGTTAAATTGTGTTTGGAGAAGAGTGAATAATATCATCTAATATATTTCAATTACATTTGTAATTTTGTCCCAGACATTACGAGTTTACGACAGCGTCAATCAAAATCAAGTTACGTACCTCCACCTCTGATAAGGGGAGAGAACTCATAACAGCAGCATGTGTTCAAGGGAGAGACGTTTATTTTATTATTAAACGGTACTTCTGCATCGGCGAACACGCTCAAAGCAGTTGCATAATGTCTCGGGAGCATGAAAACACATGTTCACAGGCACACAGTCCCCCATTGTCAACCCTGGTTTAGTCCTGGTTTAGTCCTAGTTTAGTCCTGGTGTAGCTCCTGTTTTGGCTGTTTACAGCATGTTCAGTCTGCTCGCTCAGACGCTATTGTCCCCGTGACCACTTTGCTGCTCTAGGATTGGTCGCTGCACGAGCGTCCCGAGGGAAACGCTCAGCAATATTTATCTCCTGCGTGTCAATTTTCCGCTCCTGCTCCTCTGCCGCGCCTTTGCCGCGCAGTCCGTGTGTGCATCCCGAGACACACATGCTGTTCGATGCTCGAACACGCCTCACCACTAACTTTGCATTGAAAGTCAACGCAACGCATGATCCGGTCTGAAAGCACCGTAAAAACTTTGGGAACCCCTGATCTAAAGGAACTGATCTTCACAACAACCATCAGTAAAACAATAAAATAAAAACCCACAAAAGTACATACATTATTCCTCTCTCTCACTATGGCTCCTCTGAGAGGCCAGAGTGTCATGCAGAGGGTGTATGGAGTTACCCAGCATGCCCTGCAGGAGAGCCCTTATCCTTCTCTTTACTGTCTCTTGAGGTCGGACTATGCCCAACAAAGAACACAGCACCAGCTTCATCAGAGTCAGACTGGAACAAACTGCACCATCTGAAGCTCACATCAAAGACCTCAGCCTCCTCTAGTCTGGACCAGGTGGACCCCAGGTATCTGTAGGACTGTGCAGGACGTACCTCCTCCTCGCGCTCAGTGCAGGACGTACCTCTTCCTCTCTCTCTCATTTCAGGATGTACAGTGCCTTGCGAAAGTATTCGGCCCCCTTGAACCTTTCAACATTTTGCCACATTTCAGGCTTCAAACATAAAGATATAACATTTCAATTTTTTGTCATGAATCAACAACAAGTGGGACACAATCGTGAATTGGAACGGAATTTACTGGATAATTTAAACTTTTTTAACAAATAAAAAACTGAAAAGTGGGGCGTGCAATATTATTCGGCCCCTTTACTTTCAGTGCAGCAAACTCACTCCAGAAGTTCAGTGAGGATCTTTGAATGATCCAATGTTGTCCTAAATGACTGATGATGATAAATAGAATGCACCTGTGTGTAATCAAGTCTCCGTATAAATAAAAGGAACACACCAGGCAGGTCCGAGATACTGTTGTGGAGAAGTTTAAAGCCGGATTTGGATACAAAAAGATTTCCCAAGCTTTAAACATCTCAAGGAGCACTGTGCAAGCAATTATATTGAAATGGAAGGAGTATCAGACCAATGCAAATCTACCAAGACCCGGCCGTCCCTCCAAACTTTCATCTCAAACAAGGAGAAGACTGATCAGAGATGCAACCAAGAGGCCCATGATCACTCTGGATGAACTGCAGATAACTACAGCTGAGGTGGGGAGGGTGTGTTCAGGGTGATGAGCTGTGTTGCTTTTACGCCAAACATATCGTTTTGCATTGTGGCCAAAAATTTTGATTTTGGTTTCATCTGACCAGAGCACCTTCTTCCACATGTTTGGTGTGTCTCCCAGGTGGCTTGTGGCAAACTTTAAACAAGACTTTTTATGGATATCTTTGAGAAATGGCTTTCTTCTTGCCACTCTTCCATAAAGGCCAGATTTGTGCAGTGCACGACTGATTGTTGTCCTATGGACAGACTCTCCCACCTCAGCTGTAGTTATCTGCAGGACCTGCCTGGTGTGTTCCTTTGTCTTCATGGTTCTCTCTGCGCTTTAAACAGAACCCTGAGACTATCAAAGAGCAGGTGCATTTATACGGAGACTTGATGACACACAGGTGCATTCTATTTATCATCATCAGTCATTTAGGACAACATTGGATCATTCAAAGATCCTCACTGAACTTCTGGACTGAGTTTGCTGCACTGAAAGTAAAGGGGCCGAATAATATTGCACGCCCCACTTTTCAGTTTTTTATTTGTTAAAAAAGTTTAAATTATCCAATAAATGTTGTTCCACTTCATGATTGTGTCCCACTTGTTTTTGATTCATGACAAAAAATTAAAATGTTATATCTTTATGTTTGAAGCCTGAAATGTTGAAAGGTTCAAGGGGGCCGAATACTTTCGCCTGGCACTGTATCTCCTTTTTTCTCTCAGTGCAGGACGCACAGTACCTCCTCCTCCTCTCTCAGTGAAGGACGTACCTCCTCTCTCTCTCAGTCCAGGACGTACCTCCTCCTCTCTCTCTCAGTGAAGGACGTACCTCCTCTCTCTCTCAGTCCAGGACGTACCTCCTCCTCTCTCTCTCAGTGAAGGACGTACCTCTTCTCTCTCTCAGTGAAGGACGTACCTCGTCTCTCTCTCTCAGTACAGAACGTACCTCCTCCTTCTCTCTCTCAGTGCAGGACATACCTCCTCCTCTCCCTCTCTCAGTACAGAACGTACCTCCTCCTTCTCTCTTTCAGTCCAGGACGTACCTCCTCCTCTCTTTCTCAGTACAGAACGTACCTCCTCTCTCTCTCAGTGAAGGACGTACCTCCTCTCTCTCTCTCAGTACAGAACGTACCTCCTCCTTCTGTCTCTCAGTCCAGGACGTACCTCCTCCTCTCCCTCTTAGTACAGAACGTACCTCCTCTCTCTCTCAATGAAGGACGTACCTCCTCCTCTCTCTCTCAGTACAGAACGTACCTCCTCTCTCTCTCTCAATGAAGGACGTACCTCCTCCTCTCTCTCAGTGAAGGACGTACCTCCTCCTCTCTCTCTCAGTACAGAACGTACCTCCTCTCTCTCTCAGTACAGAACATTCCTCCTCCTCCTCTCTCTCTCAGTACAGAACATTCCTCCTCCTCCTCTCTCTCTCAGTACAGAACATTCCTCCTCCTCCTCTCTCTCTCAGTACAGAACATTCCTCCTCCTCCTCTCTCTCTCAGTACAGAACATTCCTCCTCTTCCTCTCTCTCTCAGTGCAGGACATACTTCCTCCTCTCTCTCCCTCAGTGCAAAACGTACCTCCTCCTCTCTCTCTTTCAGTGCAGGACGTACCTCCTCCTCTCTCTCTCTCAGTGCAGGACATACCTCCTCCTCTCTCTCTCAGTGCAGGAGTACCTCCTCCTCTCTCTCTCTCTCTCAGTGCAGGACGTACCTCCTCCTCTTTCTCTCTCAGTGCAGGACGTACCTCCTCCAAACGGAGCCCAGATGACCCTGCGTATGGCCTTGACCCAGTCGTCCATGTCGTTCTGAGACGTGGCCATGAGCAGGAAGGACTCATGGCTGACTGGTGCACGCTCCTTCTCTCCACTTCCTCCTGGAAACACAGAAACAGGTCCTTTTCAAAAGCTCTGAAAAACATTGGTCTCAAACTCAAAAGACGAGGCAAGTTTATTTGTATAGCACGATTCACACACAAGGCAACCCAAAGTGCTGAACAAGACAGAATAGAGTCACACAAGGCATTCAAAAAATAAGAAAAAAATAATCACAGAACATAAAAAAGTGAAGGAAAATCCTGTTTTTAACCCGGATTTGAACATTGTCAGAGAAGAAGCCTGTCTCACATTTTCAAGAAGATTGTTCCAGATTTTAGCTGCATAAATCTGAAGCCTGTAGCCTCCCCATGTTTAGTCCTGACTCTGGGACCAGCAGGAGGCCTGATAATGGTGTTCTGTGGCCCCCTAGTGGACATCAAGTTTATTGTCAGTGCGACCCTCACTGAGAGTCTGTGCAAATATGTTTTAGATCGTTTTAAAACAAATTTATCAAGTAAACATAGAACCCAGAATTAAACCCGGTCTACGATACAGAGCCTCATTGCTTCTTGTGCAATTTTGTTTCAATCAAAGAAGCTGGACTCATATTCAAAAATAAAACTCCTTCATGATACAATTTCACAGTTTGAGCCCAAACCTTTACTTTCTTTGTTAATGTTAAAGAATGACAAGATGGACAGACACCAGAGAGACCAGAGCGAGACCAGAGCAAGACCAGAGAGAAAGACCAGAGAGAGAGACCAGAGAGAGAGACCAGAGAGAGAGACCAGAGAGAGAGACCAGCGAGAGAGACCAGAGCGAGACCAGAGAGAGAGACCAGAGAGAGAGACCAGAGAGAAAGACCAGAGAGAGAGACCAGAGAGAGAGACCAGCGAGAGAGACCAGAGCGAGACCAGAGAGAGAGACCAGAGAGAAAGACCAGAGAGAGAGACCAGAGAGAGAGACCAGAGAGAAAGACCAGAGAGAGAGACCAGAGAGAGACCAGAGAGTGAGACCAGAGAGAGAGACCAGAGAGATAGACCAGAGAGAAAGACCAGAGAGAGAGACCAGAGAGAGCCCAGAGAGAGAGACCAGAGAGAAACCAGTAAGGAAGGCCAGAGAGAGATATCAGAGAGAGAGACCAGAGAGAAAGACAAGAGAGAGAGAGACCAGAGAGAGAGACCGGAGAGAAAGACCAGAGAGAGAGACCAGAGAGAAAGACCAGAGAGAGAGACCAGAGAGAGAGACCAGAGAGAAAGACCAGAGAGAAAGACCAGAGAGAGAGACCAGAAAGAAAGACCAGAGAGAGAGACCAGAGAGAAAGACCAGAGAGAAAGACCAGAGAGAAAGACCAGAGAGAGAGACCAGAGAGAGGGAACAGAGAGAAAGACCAGAGAGCAAGACCAGAGAGAAAGACCAGAGAGCAAGACCAGAGAGAGAGAACAGAGAGAGACTAGAGAGAAACCAGTAAGGAAGGCCAGAGAGAGAGAGAGAGAGATCAGAGAGAGAGCGACCAGAGAGAGAGACCAGATAGAGAGAAATCAGAGAGAGAGACCAGAAAGACAGACAGATAGATAGATAGATAGATAGATGGTGCACACTGGGGTAGTCTTGCACAGTTTTTCCAATGTGGTTTTACTGCAAATGGCAAAAAAAGTCTTGTATCTTCAATTATTGACCCCTATAGGAGAAATGCAGGTGTCCAGTAGCAGCAGAAACACATCCATCCATCCAAACAAAACAAATACATACATCATTCTAAAAGTAGCTAACAATAGTAATAACAACAGTCCTTCAGGTCTCAGCCGCAGAGGTGGAGCAGTCGCTTGGGCCGGACCATTTTCTCTGCTCTGGTCCAGAGTAAAACGATGAATGATTGAATACAGCCATGTCAAACTCAGGACCGTGGGCCAAATTCAGCCCGCGAGACCATATTTAGCGGCCCTTGAAATGGTTTCCAATTATCATTAACATAGTATCTTGCAGCATTGATGGTACTGGGATACTATGACATGTTTTACATTTGAAGCTTATTGTCTCAAGAAAACAATCATAAAAAGTAATATTTTCTAAAATGTTTACAAATATGTAATTAGAAGTTAAGTTAAGGCCAATCTATGTTTTTTTACTTAACTATATTCTTGATAGTTGGCCCAGTTGTAATTGAATCCAAACCTACTAGAAAACAATTATTTTCAATTAAAATAAATTTGTCAAACTAAAACTTTTATACTTTTGGCCCCAACCCGCTCTTTAAACTTGGCCCCCCGAAATGAGTTTGACACCCCTGCTTTAATAGAAAAAAAGATCCACCAGTGTTCTTCTCCTGATCCTCTTGCTTGGCCCAAGAGGATCAGGTCTGGACCAGGTCTGGATCAGAGCAAAACCATGAACACTGGACTGCAGCAACATTTACAGATTTACACAACTGCTTCAAAGTGCCGTTTCCAGCACATTTAAAATACATCCACTAGAGGGCGCCATTAGTCTGGGCCATCTGCTTTGGATGTAGAATAACCTGTTGATAGTACTGCCATCTCACCAGAGCTGTAACAATTATTATTATGTCAAAACTAATACATTGTGGATTTAAAATGATCCAATTCTTACTCTCTTTCACACATGACTGCGCTGAGAGAAGTAGTTTGGCCACAGAGCAGCAATGACAGGACAGTCAGTTTGTTAGTAATTGGGCCCAGGACTAGACAAAAAAAAAATTCTGAAGAGTTAGAGGCTTTGTAATTATTAAATCAAGATTAATCACATATAAATATTTCACCTGAGAACAGAAGTTGTATTATAGATTTCTAGTTTACCATTGAGTAACGACTGAATTCAGATGCTTAAAGATAAAGAGGAGGAATTTCCCAAATTTTAGGAAAGAACCGTCCTCTCCATTTCTTGACCAAAACTCTCTGGTCTTAAGCCTGGTTCACACGAGACGATTTTAAAATTGTCGGCCGATTTTTCTCCGTGTTAGACCCCACACGGGGAGATTAAAAATCCTGCGTCTAACCACTTTGGTCGTGCAGTGTGTGGTGCGTAGCCACACGGCAAGATCACGAAAGCCACAAACATCACACACGAACCGACACCCCCCCCCCCCGAGCATTCCCACGTCAGACGGAAATCTCACAAAATCTCTCGAGATCAAGCGTGACTTCAGAGTAAACAGTCATGGCGGACGAAGAGGATGCAGTGGCGATAGTGTGCAGTTTGTTGTTAACAGAGAAGACACGTAATCCAAAGAAAAGGCAATGGTCAAAGCCATGCTGCTGTGTTTTGGTTTTTTTCCGGTGTTTCCTCACCGGCGTGTCACCTCGTCTTCTTATTGGCTACACGCCGTAGTCCTCGGAGGACACCACACACGACAAGAAATCGGGCCAAAACAATCCAACATGTTGGATATCCCCGATTTGAGATCGGGAGCAGTCCCGATGTCCTTCCGAGCGACGAGTGCAGTCTTAACACACCACACACGGCAGGATAATCTGTAAGATTTTGTTACGGAAATCGGAGCGTTTCTTAAGATTGTCGTAAGGGGTAAATCGGGTCTAAATCGGCCTAAATATCCTGCCGTGTGAACCAGGCTTTATATGACGAGTATCACCAGAATGACTGACCATTGGGAGGACCATAGTCTTGATGATCCACCCGCAAGTAGAAAATAGGGAAGCACCAACACCAATTTTGTTCAAAACTGTACCTTAATTTGAGTAATTGCCGATACCAAATACAGATACGATTACTGCATTGTGTGATCCGGGAATTCATAAAACTAATAGGACTGAAATTTAAAATGTTTTATTTCTCATTTCAACAATAAGAAAATGTTTTATTGTTTTAACAGTCAACAGTAAGAGCCACTGTCATATTCCACTCATACAAATGGTACAAAGAAATAACTCTGATGCTAGCAAAGGTTACTCTGATGCTAGCAAAGGTTTCTCTGATGCTAGCAAAGGTTACTCTGATGCTAGCAAAGGTTACTCTGATGCTAGCAAAGGTTACTCTGATGCTAGCAAAGGTTACTCTGATGCTAGCAAAGGTTACTCTGATGCTAGCAAAGGTTACTCTGATGCTAGCAAAGGTTACTCTGATGCTAGCAAAGGTTACTCTGATGCTAGCAAAGGTTACTCTGATGCTAGCAAAGGTTACTCTGATGCTAGCAAAGGTTACTCTGATGCTAGCAAAGGTTACTCTGATGCTAGCAAAGGATACTCTGATGCTAGCAAAGGTTACTCTGATGCTAGCAAAGGTTACTCTGAGGCTAGCAAAGGTTACTCTGATGCTAGCAAAGGTTACTCTGATGCTAGCAAAGGTTACTCTGATGCTAGCAAAGGCTTCTCTGATGCTAGCAAAGGTTACTTTGATGCTAGCAAAGGTTACTCTGATGCTAGCAAAGGTTACTCTGAGCGATGGTGAGTTTTCAGATGTTTTATCAAGTCGCTCAGGTTGTATGTGTTCGTTTTGGACCCAATTCTGACAGTTTTACACAACGTACAATTCGTTTTACTCTTGTCATTCTCATTTATGTAGAAAAAGGCTGAGTGGATAGCGCTCTCGCCTCTCAGCAAGAAGATCCTGGGTTCAAATCCCGTTTGGACCAGGGCCTTTCTGTGTGGGGTTTGAATGTTCTCCCCGTGTCTGCGTAGGTTTCCTCCGGGTACTCCGGTTTCCCCTACCACAAAAAACCTGTACAATAGGTCTGGCATGTGCCTCCTGTACTGACCCCACTCCCATCTCTGTGTGGAGTGAGAGACAAAAGCCCAAAAATAACAATTGTAAACCTCTTTGTGACTGATTTGCAGTGAAAAGGCGGTATATAAAGAAAGATTACTTACTTACTTACTATTTAACAATGTAATAAGCTACACTGGGAAAGAGATTAAACATAAGCCAGAAATTGGCAAAACTTAATTTGAGCACATTCTGACCCAACAGGACAAAGCAAAATGATCTTGGTTTTATTATTATTATCTTTATTTATCAGACTCGAAGTCCATAAAAGACTTTAAAAAACTTTTTAAAAAAGTTTTAAAAGACTTTCCAATGAATC